CACTATTTGTTGGAGAAGTTGTATTTTTTTCAACATGATTTTGGCATCTTTTTCTAGTTTTAGGTAACTGAATTTATGGGACTTTGTCTCTGTGTCTTCTACTCCATTCCATTAGATTTCATATCTGCATTGATGCCAGTACCATGCTGTTTTTCTTTCTATAGCTCTTTAGTATAATTTGAGGTTCAATATTGTGATGCCTCCTGCTTTTCTCACTAGCAGTGAATCTGTACAGTGCTTTAGGTAGAGTGGCCATTTTGACAATATTAATTCTGTCTGTCCAAGAACAAGAGATGTCTTTTCATCTTCTGAAGTCTACTTCAAATTTGTTTTAGTGTTCTATTATTTTCATTGTAGGTGATGCTTCACTTCCTTTGTTAGATTTATTATAAAGGTTTTTTTTGAGGCTATTGTGAATAAGATAGTCTTTCTAACTTATTGTAGTGATATTTCATTTTTCATCTTAAATTTTGTTTAAGTTTTTATCTCTTTCTTTTAGTTAGTTTGACTAAGAGTTTATCTATTTTGTTTACCTTTCAAAAAAAACCCACTTTTTTTCATTGATCTTTGGATCTACTTTTCATTCTCAATTTCATTGGTTTCTGTTCTGATGTTGATTATTTCCTATCTTTTATTGATTTGGGTGTTGGTTTGTTCTTGTATCTTAGGGCCTTGAGATGTAATTTTAGATTACTTACTTGTTGCACTAGCTCAATGTTATAAACTTTCCTCTTGGAGCTGTCTTCATACTGTCCCAGAGATTTTGATATGTTCTATCACTATTTTCATTTATTTTTAATTTTTTTTATTTCTCCCCTTATTTCTTCTGTTATCCATTCACCCTCAGAAGAGTATTATTTAATCTGCTGGTGTTAGAGTGATTTCTGTTTTTTTTATCTTTTTATAATTTAAATTTTCATTCACTTTTTAATTTTTTATTATTATTTTTTAAATTTATATATTATAGTAGAATACCTTACAATTCATATTATACAAAAAGAGCACAATTTTTCGTATCTCTGGTTGTATACAAAGCATATTCACACCAATTCATGTCTTTATACATGTACTTTGGATAATAATGTCCATCACATTCCACCATCATTTCTAACTCCAAGCCCTCTCCCTTTCCCTCACACCCTTCCCTTTCTTTCCTACCCCTCTGCCCTATCTAGAGTTCATCTATTCCTCCCATGGTCCCCTCCCTACCCCACAGTGAATAAGCCTCATTATATCAGAAAAAAAATTCAGCTCTTAGTTTTTTGAGATTGGCTAACTTCACTTAGCAAAATTATCTCCTCCAACTCCATTCATTTACCTGAAAATGCCATGATGTTATTCTCTTTTATTGATGAGTAATATTCCATTGTATATAAATGCCACATTTTTTTATCCACTCATCTAC